AGCCTCAAACTGCGCGTTCAGGGCACGGCGGCGGATAAGGAGCATCTGAGCTCGTCCTCCGCCCCCCGCAGTGTCCAAGCCCTCCGTGCGCTCGAGCTGTCCAGGAGTCGCATGAACCGCCTCCGCTGCTCCTCCCTCCTGCCCCCTCCCCACTCACCCCTTACCCTCTTTCTTCTACCCCCACCAATCTTGTCTCTGTCCCCACCCCTCCCCTATCTCCAACATGCGCAAGCTCGTCCACAGCTGTGGGCCCACTCGAAAGCAAGAACACACAACAGGGCATTAGCGACGCCTCCCGACCAACACACGCATCAATTGACATCCTGTAGCTACAAGCAACAATTAGCAGCGACACCATGGTGATACTCGTATGTTTACGGCTCTACAAGGTTGGTTTGCTAAGGTCTCGCGGGCCTTGCACAGAAGTAACACGGGCACGCTCACAGTTGCATGCCTGAAAGTTCCCACCGATGTTTGCGGAGGTGGATTGGGAGGAGTCCCCCGTGACGCCACGGGGGGGAGCTCGCCGCCAGGCACGCCTAAGAAAGACAGAATATCCTCGGAGTCTTCCCGGCCTGCTGGCTCAGCCGAGGCGCACCGGTCGCCGCTCATCGACGCCCTCAAGGCGGGGGCCGGGCGCGATCGCTTGAGCACCTTCGAGGCGCGCCTTGTGCGCCGGCAGCAGTGGCGGCGGCGGCAGTGGCGCGCTGGGCGCATGTGGTGCTGATAGAGCTGCACCGTTGTGCTTTCACCGTCCGGCTTGACTGTCTCAACAGGATTGGTGAGGGAGGGGGGGCTAGAGGAGAAGGAGGAGTGAGCATTCACAGCGTGAGGAGCAGACGTCACGAGTACTGTTCAAGATAAACGGTTGTGGGCAGACGGAAGAGTCACATTCTCATGGAAGCATGCTCTTCTACGTCCGACCGGGCCGAAGCAAGTGTCAGAGGAACAGAAAGGCTGCGTACGTGCTTCTGGAGCTCTGGCGTCGGGGCCAAATTCTCGTTTTCCGCTCCGTGTGGGCTCCCTGGGCTTTCCTGGCTCCCCCTGTGGAGCACAGTCGCCGTGGCCACCCGCGATGCAGCACGCGATACTCCCGCAGTAGCGCAAGCAGGAGGAGAAGGAGAGGGACCCCTCAATACCCCCCTCCGGGATACCGCCCCTCACCCTGAGGGCCCCAGACTTCAGGGCATTGCAAGCCAAGACCTGGCAAGATTCGGCGGGAGAACGGCCAATGGAGAAAGCGTTCGCCCACGAGCGCACTCGGCTTCTGAGGCTGGGCCCCCAGGGCGCTTTTCAGGGAGGACGGTGCGCCCGCCGCGAGCGAGGGAGGGCGCGGGGGCTCGTGCTTCGAGCCCTCGCGAGGGTAGAAGTCGAAGTCTATGTGACAGTTCGATGTTTTAAACATGGGTATCTTGGATGATTCAATTCGCGTTGGGCGGGGTCGCGTGAGGTGAGTGGGATCGGCGGCGTTCGAGGGGGGCATGGGGGGTTCACGCTGTTGGCGGAGTGGTTCAAGTCTGCGCGGTGTGTGATGTGAGATGTGGCACGGGCTGGCGAACCGTAACGGCGTCGGGGTCGGTTGGAGTGCCTTTTCAGCTTAGGCAGTTTCTTTTGCGGCTTCTGGCGCTGCTTGGACCTCTGAGGGTCTCGCATCCTCCGAGATCGTGTTTGGCTGCAAGGTCACGGGAGACGCCTTGGCTGGGAGTGAGGGCGCGCCAGTCAGACCAGAAGAAGGCAGGACTCCCTCGTGGCCGCTGGTTTGGAAGGGGAACTTTCTCCCCCATTTTTTTCCTCGCCTTGAGGGCCCCTAGCTTCGGCTTCAGATTCAGGGAGCGGAGACCGTGTTGCAGCGCAAGGCCGCTCGACCCCCCGGCCTCGCTCTGGGCCGCCGGCCGGCGGCAAAGCGCAAACCTGGCCCCACGCCGCGACCCCTGGACAGACGCTGCCGCGCCAGTGAAAATCGCCAGCCCCCTCGCGACGAAGAGAGGTACGGGAGGAGGAAGGTAGGAACAGGATCATGTCAGGGAGGAGGGACTCGGGAGGGAGGGATCTGTCCTCGGCTTTCTCCGCAGATCCGCCCCTCCTCATCTTCCTCTCCCTGCTCATCCTCCTCGGAGGGAGGAATCTATCCTCGGCCTTCTCCGGATATCCGCCCCTCCTCGTTCTCCTCGTCCTCGTCCTCGACGCCCTCCTCCTCCTCTGCAACCGCCGTGCGCATGCTGGCCCCGCGGCGCGGCTGCTTCCCCGAACTGGGCCCCAATCTGGGGAATCGGGGGTGGACAGAACCCCCACCCTGACACGTCGATTAGTGAATTGTCCGTTTTCGGTGCTCGAGAGGGCGCCGCGGCCGTCATGTTCCAGGCTTGCGCCCGCCAGGTTTGGGCCCGAGGTCGTTTTAACTAAACCACGTTTTGCTAGATGGGGTTATGTCCATCCCCATGGAAGACGGGCGGAATGGTTTCCCCGCGTCCGGCGACCAGGACAGTCTGCGGGAGTTGGAGGCCGCGCAATGCGGGGGCGATGCGAGGGGGGGGGACTGCGAGGGCTGCCGAAAGGGGGCTCCGTAGGCCCCCAGAGGAACCTCCAGGGCCCAGACAAAGACTTTTTGGGCCCCGAGAGGGGCACCTCGTCTCCCCCCCCCCTCTCTTCACCGCTCCCCCCCCCTCAAGTCGCGCCCACCTGAGGAGGGACCCGAGGCGGGAGGCCTCTGCGGTCCGTCCCCGCCGCCGCCGCAGCGGGGCACGCGCACCTCCCAGCGCCCCCTCTCCGGCAGCCGTGCCTCTCCGCTCCTGCGCGCTGCGACCCCCCCGGGCAGGAGGCGCGCGCGCCTCAAAGGGGGGGGGGGGGGACGGCGCGCGCCCCGAGGGCGCGGGGGGGGGTGCCTCGGGCAGGAGGCTCTCAGGGGGGAGGGCGAGAGGCAGACGGGGAGGGACGAGGGATGACGAGAGTCGAAGATGAAGAAGAAGAAGAAGAAGAAGAAGAAGAAGAAGAAGAAGAAGAAGAAGAAGAAAAACAACAACAAACATAAACCTACACTTTCGGCGCTCCGCGCGGATTCCTTGGATCCGCGCAGGGCCCCCCGGCAGCGCCTCCGGCGCCGCCCCTGGCGCGCTCCGCGCGCCAGGAAGGGGGGGTCCGGCGCGGATCCAGGAAATCCGCGCGGAGCGCCAACAGTTTATGTTTATTACCTAACAGCGAAGACTGATAGGTTTCTAGTTGACTCAAAAGAGCTCACAGATCACTCCACAGGGGGCCCCCCCCCACCCCCCCCTTCTTCCTCCCTCTCTTCTCTCCCCCCCCCCCCCCCCCCTTTTTTTTTTTTTCCCCCCCCCCCCCCCCCCCCCCCCCCCCCCCCCCCCCCCCCCCCCCCTCCCCCCCCCCTCTCCCACAGGAGTGTCAGGGCAGGTGTGGGGAGTGCCGGGCGCAGGGTGCGGGCTCGTTTTTCCAACGGTCACACACTTCGGGGCTCTCGACTTCCCAGGAACTCCATCCCAGGGCCACATCTGAATACCCGGATGCAAACAGTCACACACTCTCGTGCTCTTCGAGATCCCAGAACGCCATTCCGGGCCACATTTTAGAATAACCGGATGCAACAGTTCGCACACTTTCGTGCTCTTCGACATCCCAGAACGCCATTCCGGGCAAATTCTGTTGAGGACCGATGCAACAGTCACACACTTCGTGCTCTTCGACTTCCCAGAACTCCATTCCCGGGCCACATTTTGGATGCCGGAGCCAACTGTAGGCCACTTCGTGCTCTTCGACTTCCCAGAACTCCATTCCCGGGCCACATTTTGGATGCCCGGAGCCAAATGTAGGCCACTTCGTGCTCTTCGACTTCCCAGAACTCCATTCCCGGGCCACATTTTGAATGCCCGGAGCCAACTGTAGGCCACTTCGTGCTCTTCGAGTTCCCAGAACTCCATTCCCGGGCCACATTTTGAGTGCCCGTAGCCAAGTGTAGGCAACTTCGTGCTCTTCGACTTCCCAGAACTCCCATTCCTGGGCCACATTTTCAGCAGGGGCAAGAGCACGACGAGGAGGAGGACGAGCAAGACAGGAGGACGAGGACGAGCAGGAGCAGGACGAGGAGCAGGAGGAGCAGGAGAAGAAGGACGAGCAGGAGGAGGAGGAGGACGAGCAGGAGGAGGAGGACGACAAGGAGGAGGAGGACGACCAGGAAGAGGAGGAGGAGGAGGAGGAGGGGAGGGGAGGGGGCGGAGTACCAGGAGGAGAGGAGGCGGAAGGAGGAGGAGGAGGAGGAGAGGAAGAGGAGGAGGAGGTAGGAGGAGGCAGGAGGAGTAGAGGCGAGGAGGAGGAGGGGGGGGGGGAGAGTACCCGGAGGAGGAGAACGGAGGACCACAAGGGAGGAGGAGGAGGAGGAGGCGGAAGGAGGAGGAGGAGGAGGAGGAGAGAACACCAGGAGGAGGAGGACGAGCAAGACGAGGAGGACGAGAACGAGGACGACCAGGAAGAGGAAGAGGAGGAGGAGGGGAGGGGGAGGACTACCAGGAGGAGGAGGAGAAGGAGGAGGAGGAAGAGGAGGAGGAGGACGAGGAGGCGGAGGAGGAGGAGGAGGACGAGGAGGAGGAGGGGGGGGGAGAGCACCAGGAGGAGGAGAACGAGGACCACCAGGAGGAGGAGGAGGAGGAGGAGGAGGAGGAGGAGGAGAGAGCACCAGGAGGAGGAGGACGAACAAGACGAGGAGGACGAGAACGAGGACGAGCAGGAGGAAGAGGAGGAGGAGGAGGAGGAGGAGCAGGAGAAAGAGCAGGAGGAGGAGGAGGCAGGCTGAGGCTGAGGCTGTGACTGCGACTGCCGTTGCCGCTGCGACTGTCATCGCGAATGCGACTACGACTGCGAGAACAGCAGAATTCTACAACTGGATTTTTATCTGAATCTTAAGGGGAATGCTTTCAGATATGCTTCTACACATCGCTGTTAGGTTGCTTTGCCGGGATAATTACCTAACATCGAAGACTGATAGGTTTCTAATGGGCTAAAAAGAGAGCAGCACATTACTTCAACATTACTTCAACATTACTCCACAGGGGGGTCTGGGCAGCCGTTGGGGGCAGTTGGGTGGCAGTTGGGGGGCCGTTGGGGTTTGCCGGCGGGGATCGTTTTTCGCATACAGTCACACACTTCGTGCCCACTTCGTGCTCTTCGATTTCCCAGAACTCCATTCCCGGCCACATTTTGGATGCCCGGAGCCAACTGTAGGCCACTTCGTGCTCTTCGATTTCCCAGAACTCCATTCCCGGCCACATTTTGGATGCCCGGAGCCAACTGTAGGCCACTTCGTGCTCTTCGACTTCCCAGAACTCCATTCCCGGGCCACATTTGGATGCCCGGAGCCAACTGTAGGCCACTTCGTGGTCTTCGAGTTCCCAGAACTCCATTCCCGGGCCACATTTTGGATGCCCGGAGCCAACTGTAGGCCACTTCGTGATCTTCGAGTTCCCAGAATTCCATTCCTGGGCATGATTTTGAATGCCCGGAGCCAACTGTAGGCCACTTCGTGTTCTTCGAGTTCCCAGAATTCCATTCCCGGGCCACATTTTGAATGCTGAGGCAGGCTGAGGCTGAGGCTGAGGCAGGCTGAGGCTGAGGCAGGTGAGGCTGAGGCAGAGGCTGAAGGCAGACTGAGGCTGAGGCTGAAGCAGGCTGAGGCTGAGGCAGAGGCAGGCTGAGGCTGAGGCAGGCTGATGCTGAGGCAGGCTGAGGCTGAGGCTGAGGCTGATGCAGGCTGAGGCTGAGGCAGGCTGAGGCTGAGGCTGAGGACAAGGCTCAAGGCAGACTGAGGCTTTGGCTGAAGCAGGCTGAGGCTGAGGCTGAGGCTGAGGCTGAGGCGGCAGAGCTGAGGCTGCAGGCTGATGCTGAGGCAGGCTGAGGCTGAGGCTGAGGCTGAGGCTGAGGCAGGCTGAGGCTGAGGCAGGCTGAGGCGGAGGCCGAGGCTGAAGGCAGGCTGATGCTGAGGCTGAAGCAGGCTTTGGCTGAGGCAGCGCGGCTGAGGCTGAGGCTGAGGGAGGCTGATGGCAGGCTGAGGCTGATGGCAGGCTGAGGCTGAGGCAGGTGAGGCTGAGGCCGAGGCTGAAGGCAGACTGAGGCTGAGGCTGAAGCAGGCTGAGGCTGAGGCTGAGGCAGGCTGAGGCTGAGGCTGAGGCAGGCTGATGCTGAGGCAGGCTGAGGCTGAGGCTGAGGCTGATGCAGGCTGAGGCTGAGGCAGGCTGAGGCTGAGGCCGAGGCTGAAGGCAGACTGAGGCTGAGGCTGAAGCAGGCTGAGGCTGAGGCTGAGGCAGGCTGAGGCTGAGGCTGAGGCAGGCTGATGCTGAGGCAGGCTGAGGCTGAGGCTGAGGCTGATGCAGGCTGAGGCTGAGGCAGGCGGAGGCTGAGGCCGAGGCTGAAGGCAGACTGAGGCTGAGGCTGAAGCAGGCTGAGGCTGAGGCTGAGGCAGGCTGAGGCTGAGGCTGATGCAGGCTGAGGCTGAGGCAGGCTGAGGCTAAGGCTGAGGCTGATGCAGGCTGAGGCTGCGGCAGGCTGAGGCTGAGGCGAGGCTGAAGGCAGACTGAGGCTGAGGCTGAAGCAGGCTGAGGCTGAGGCTGAGGCAGGCTGAGGCTGAGGCTGAGGCAGGCTGAGGCGGAGGCAGGCTGAGGCCGAGGCCGAGGCTGCAGGCAGACTGAGGCTGAGGCTGAAGCAGGCTGAGGCTGAGGCTGAGGCAGGCTGAGGCTGAGGCTGAGGCTGAGGCAGGCTGATGCTGAGGCAGGCTGAGGCTGAGGCTGAGGCTGATGCAGGCTGAGGCTGAGGCAGGCTGAGGCTGAGGCCGAGGCTGAAGGCAGACTGAGGCTGAGGCTGAAGCAGGCTGAGGCTGAGGCTGAGGCAGGCTGAGGCTGAGGCTGAGGCAGGCTGATGCTGAGGCAGGCTGAGGCTGAGGCTGAGGCTGATGCAGGCTGAGGCTGAGGCAGGCTGAGGCTGAGGCCGAGGCTGAAGGCAGACTGAGGCTGAGGCTGAAGCAGGCTGAGGCTGAGGCTGAGGCAGGCTGAGGCTGAGGCAGGCTGAGGCTGAGGCTGAGGCAGGCTGAGGCTGAGGCTGTGACTGCGACTGCCGTTGCCACTGCGACTGTCATCGCGAATGCGACTACGACTGCGAGAATAGCAGAATTCTACAACTGGATTCTCATCCGAATCTTAAGGGGAATGCTTCCAGATGTGCTCCTACACATCGATGTTAGGTTGCTTTGCCGGGATAATCTTCTTCTGAGGAAGGTGGAGGAGGGACGAAGGATGACGAGAGGCAGGAGGAGGAATGTGGAGGGTGAGGGCGCGAGGCAGGAGGAGGAGGGTGGAGGAGGGACGAAGGATGACGAGAGGAGGAGGAGGAGGCGGGAGGAGGCAGGAGGAGCAGCAGGGGGGCTGACGAGGGGAGGAGGCAGGCAGGAGGAGGAGGAGGAGGAGGGGGAGGAGGAGGGACCAGCTGAGGACAAGGAGGAGGCAGCAGCGGGGCGCGGAGCCAGACCATCCTGTGGTCGCCGTCGGGGTGGCGCCTCTGGGCCCTTCCCCCCCCCCCCCCGAGGGGGGGTGTCCACGTGCCCCACTGCGCGGAGCGTTGGCCAACGTCGCCGGTGGGGCTCTGCTCCGGCGAGGCTGCGCAGCTCTCTGGGCCGGGGCGCCCCCGAGGCGTGCGCGCTCCTGGTGGGCGAGGCAGAGGCGCCCGCCGCCCAGCGGGGAGCTGCCCAGCGGCGTCTGCGGATCGAGGGCCGGGGGTCCGGCTTCCGGTCGGCATGGTGGAAGTGGCATCGTTTCCTCTGGTGTGGGCCTCCCGGGAGGTCCTCGTCGCCACCGCTGGGCTCGCCTCGAAGGCATGGTCAGAAGGCACCCCTGGAAAGGACTGGGGAGTAGCGATATGAGATCGGTACGTTTTGGTATCCTCAGAGAAAGGCTCAGGGGAGCATGAGAAAAGAAGAGCAGCAACAGGAGAGGAGTAGGATTCGCACGGTCGGAATGGGTAATTACGGAGGTCGTGAGTGGAAGGTTTCTCCGAAGGGCTTCGGCGACCCGTCCTCCTCCTCCTCCTCCTCCTCCTCCTCCTCCTCCTCCTCCTCCTCCTCCTCCTCCTTCCCCTCCACCTCCTCCTCCTCCTCCTCCTCCTCCTCCTCCTCCTCCTCCTCCTCCTCCCTCCCCTCCTCGCCCTCCCCTCCTCGGGTCGCCTACGGCCCCGGAGGAAACCGTTTATTCGTGGATGGGCATCATGCCATTTTTTCCGTACCCATTTCGGGTGTCCAAACTCGGTCAGCCAGGATATGGGCACGCCCTAGAAAGCTGCAGCCGTGTGCCGAAAAGCATTATTCATGTTCTTCGTCTTCTCATTCTCGGGAGCTCTTGGAGGCAGTTTGGAGGCCCATTGGGGGCCGTTTCGGGGCCTCTTGGGGTCTCTTTTGGGCCTCTTGGGGGCCTCTTGGGGGCCTCTTGGGGCCTCTTGGGGGTCCCTTGGGGCCTCTTGGGGCCTCCTGGGCGCCGCTTGAGGCCTCCTGGGGGCCTCTTGGGCGGGGGATTTTCAGTTCGTGGTCCCTCTCTTGGGCTCCTCTTGGGGCCGTCTTGTGCCCTCTCGGGCCGTCTTGGGTGCCTCTTGGGTCGTCTTTGGGCGCTCTTAGGCCGTCTTGGAGCCCTCTTGAAGGCCTCTTGGATTGTTTTGGGGTGATCTTGAAGCCTCTTGGGCCGTTTAGGAGCGTCGGAAAACCAGCGAACCGAACAGGCGAGAATGCCAAAATCTTCTTTGAACCTTCGGAGGATCAGTGATCTTTGCCTCTTGAGGCCCTCTTGGGGTGCCTCTTCTCGGAGGCCTCTTGGGCTGTCGTGAGGTTATCTTGGGCGTCTTGGCCCGATCTTTGGGCGTCTCGGGGCCCTCTTGGACCGTCTTGGAGACCGCGCAGGGGCCCTCTTGGCCCGTCTTGGGTCCTTCTTGGACCAGAAGCAGGCACGCGGGCAGCAGTGCCGGAGCCCAAGGGGGGCACGCGGGAAGCCCCGGTAGATCTGAGAATCTGGTCTCCGGGCCCTTGTCAATCGGAGGTTGACAGACCTCCTACCCTGACACGTCGATCAGTGAATTGGCCGTTTTCGGTTCGCGAGAGGGCGTCGCGGCCGTCATTTTGCGGGTCCAGGTCCGTCGGTTTCGGCCCCAGGCCGTTTTCACTAAGGGAAGGTTTACTAAAGGGAGGTTTGTCCACCGCCGACTCAAGACTCCTCAGGATTCAGGACTGAGGCCCACAGGGGATTAGGCAAAGGACCTGAGGACACGCCAACTCCGTGCCCAGTGGCACGGTGGCGGATGCTAGTAGGTCGCCCGTGGGGGCGCGAAGATAGTCTCGCTTCGCGCGCCGCGGTTGCCCTTCTCCAAGAGGGCGGCGCGATGGCTCGATAGTGCGAAGATTCTGGCGCATCCTGGGACGCGATGCGCGAAGTTCGGTGATCTGGGTATGGTGGCCCGTGGGGGGCGGGCCCCCTCGCCACTGCAGCCAGAGTCGGCTCGAGACTCGAGTCGCGGGAGTGGTGTTCCTGGATGTCTGGTGTCGCAGGCCTAGAGGTTGACACCAACACCAGTATCGGTGGTGTGCCTCCACCGAGGGAAGAAGATCCCGATCTCGGTGATGGTGGTAATATTCTGGCTTCCAAGGTGACCGACATATTACCACCAACACCGAAATCGAGGATCAGATTCTCCAGGCTCACGCCACATCCGCCGACCCCTTGATTCGTACCGGCGGCTATCGCCGCGTTTCCGCCTTCACTGCTCGTAGCTGCCAGGCGTTACAGTGCAGTGGCAAGTGCCAGAAGAAAAGATTGAGAGGCATTGCAAAGCGCATGGAAAAAATAACGGAAGAGGAGGGGGAGGGTGAAGAGGAGGATAAGGGAGCGAATGAAGCCGACGAAAGCGACGCCTACAACGACAACGATAGAGGGTTCATGGATGTTCGTTGGGATCTCGCGTTGGCCTTTCGGGGGCCTCCTGGAAGCAGGTTTGAGGATTCGTGGGAGCCGCTTTGGGGCCTCATTTGGGCCTCTTGGGGGCTTCATGGGCTTCTTGGTGGGCCTCCTGGATGGCCCTTGGGGCGTCGTGGGGGGCCGCTTCGGGCTCTGGGGGCATCTTGGGGCCTCCTGGGGCCTGTTGGGGCCCCCTCTTTGCCCTTCATGGGGCCCTCGTGGGCCGTCTTGGGCGCCCCTTGGGCCGTCTTCGGGCCGTCATGTGCCGTCTCGGGGCCCTCTTGGAGACCTCTTGGTCCGTCTTGTGGTGGTGTTGGGAGCCTCCTGGGCCGTCGTGGAGCGTCGGAGAGCAGAAAAGACGAGAAGGCTAAACATGTACGTTTTACGAAGGGAATGGGGCCATGTTTGGGTCTGGGAACCCTGTTGGGGCGATTCTCGGGGGTCTCTTGGGCAGTCTTGGGGCCATCTTGGGCGTGTTCGAACGCTGGTTTGGCTACTCGGGGCCTTCTTGACCGTCTCGGGGGCCCCTTGGTGCGCTCTTGGTTCGTTTTCGGGCCCTTTGCTCCCCCCGGCGGCGTTCGAGCCGGGGTCAACCGGAGCCCGGATGACCCCGGCTCGAACGCCTCTGGGCTACCTTGGGGCTGTATTGGAGGCCTCCAGGGCCGTCTGGGAGCGTCGGAAAGCCCCAAAGGCAAATTTGTGAAAAATGTACGTTTCACGAAGGGAACGGGCCAATTTTTGCGCCGAGGGGCCCTCCTGGGGGTCTCTTGGGCAGTCTTGGGACCATCTTGGGCGTGTTCGAACGCTGGTTTGGCTACTCGGGGCCTTCTTGACCGTCTCGGGGGCCCCTTGGTGCGCTCTTGGTTCGTTTTCGGGCCCTTTGCTCCCCCCGGCGGCGTTCGAGCCGGGATCCACCGGAGCCCGGATGACCCCGGCTCGAACGCCTCTGGGCTACCTTGGGGCTGTATTGGAGGCCTCCAGGGCCGTCTGGGAGCGTCGGAAAGCCCAAAAGGCAAATTTGTGAAAAATGTACGTTTCACGAAGGGAACGGGCCAATTTTTGCGCCGAGGGGCCCTCCTGGGACGCATCTTGGAGGCCTCTTGGGGCCGTCTTGGGCCGTCTGGAGGCGATCGTCGGTGTCTTTGATCGCTCTTCGACCGTCTGTGACCATATTGAGCTCTCTTGGAGGCCACTTGAAGCGCTCCTGGAGCGCTCTTGGGGCCGTCTTCGGGGCCCTCTTGGGCAATCTTGGGCGCCTCTTGGGCTGTCTTGGGGCTCTCTTGGGCTGCCTTGGAGCTTCCCTGGAGGCTGCTTGGACCGTCTTGGGGCGGTATTTAGGGCCTCTTGGGCCGTCTGGGAGCGTCGGAAAGCCCAAAAAGCGAATTCGTGAAAAATGTACGCTTTACGAAGGGAATGGGCCAATTTTTGCGTCTAGGGACCCTCGTGGGACGCATCTTGGAGGCCTCTTCGGGCCTCTTGGGGACCTCTTGGGCCGTCTTGGAGGCCTTTTAGCCCGTCTTTGAGCCATCTTGGGCGTCTTGGAGCGCTCGTTTGGCGTCTCGGGGCTCCCGTGGGCCGTCTTGAAGGCCTCTTGGGGCCATCTTGGCCCGTCTTGAGGCTTCCTGGGGCCCGGAAAAGCCCCGGCGGCGCTCGTCCCGGGCCCGGGGGGGGGGGGTCAAATCGCCGGTTTGGGGTCCCGGGGGGGGGACTATAGGGGGGGGAACTATCTCACACGCCTAGAGACCCACAAGGGGTCGGCGGATTCCCCTTGTGGAGGCAGCCCCCTCTGTGTTGGTGTCGGTGCCACTTTCCAGGCCTCCACGGGTGTCCTGGAGAGGGGTCGGGACTGTTGAGTCAGCCCATCGCGTTTGGCCGCCGGGGTGTGGATGCTTCCAACACTGCTGCAGGATTTGGCACGCTGGTTGGGATGACGCCTGGCGGCCCTGCCGAGACTCCGAGTCTCGCGTCTCCCCGAGCTGGCTCGGAGCACGGCTGCCGCGTCGCGTCAGAGGGGGCAGCCGGCAGACCAGAGCTACATCGAACGGAGCTGGGGCAGTGTTAAGTTAGGCCTGTCCCTCTACAGGGGGGATATTCAAAAACAGTAAGAAAACAGTCTGGGGACGATTGCTCGTCTCTTTTTAATTACGTTTGTGCATTTTGGTTTTTTCCCCAACCCTCCTTGTCTGGGTATTCGTTTTGAATAGAGGGATGTGGTCGCGTTCCTTCGTCCGCCTCCCGCCTCCTCCTGCCCTCTCTTCGCCATCCCTGGGGGGCTGCGATCTGCGAAACTGTCGCCGCTTTCGAGGGCTGCTGGTGGGTCCTGTGGAGTGAGGCACCGCGCGGACCTGAGCGGGGCCTCGCCGTCCCTCGGGGGTTGCGATCTGCGAACCTGTCGCCACGTTCGAGGGCTGCTGGTGGGTCCTGCGGAGTGAGGCACCGCGCGGACCTGAGCGAGACCTCGCCGTCCCTGGGGGGCTGCGATCTGAGAGACTGTCGCCACTTTCGAGGGCTGCTGGGGGGTCCAGCAGGGTGAGGCACCGCGGGGACCTGAGCGAGACCTCGCCGTCCCTGGGGGGCTGCGATCTGCTAGCCGGTCGCCACTTTCGAGGGCTGATCTGCGAAACCGTCGCCACTTTCGAGGGCTGCTGGTGGGTCTTGCGGGGTGACGCACCGCGCGGACCTGAGCGGGACCTCGCCGTCCCTGGGGGGCTGCGATCTTCGAACCTGTC